CTTCTGCCTAAATTAACTTACATCCTTACAGTATTTTTTGGAAAATTGTTTACCATACGACATAAGACATTAATTAAATTCTAAAAAAAAAAAATAATTATGGAGAGCGAGAGATGGACAGGGCCTCATATGGGAAATATGCTGCAAAATGCTTGATATCAAATGTTTGGATGGACCGTTTGTGTCAGGTTTGATGCTATAGTGTCTCTCCCATTTTTCCCTTTAATCATGAAGATTATTTTCATTGTACTTGGTCCGTTAATAGTTTTCAAATGTTTATGATTGATCGAATGGTCCCCTGCCATTGAAACCAAAATAGTTGAAATGAGGGGTGGTAGAATTTTTTATCGATAAACTATTCTGTTTATTCAAATGTTATCTGAGATAAAATTATCCGAGGTTTTTTATCTTGATTTCACTTTGTCCTGAGAGAGGTGAGACAACTTATTCGGGCCAAAGTCTTCGTTGCAAAAGGTTATAATACGCTCTTAATATTGTTTGTGAATTAAACGTGGCCTAGATTAATGAAGTTTTGAAGTGGCAATGTTAACACTCAAGTTGTACCTCTCTTGTGGGAAAATCTTGGGGGAGTGCTCAAGATAGAAATTCTTGATATCTTTGGCAGCAAAGAGAGGACGATTGTTTTCATTTGGAGCAGTTAACATAGCAGTTACAAGGCCACCGGTGCTTGTTCCAGCAATCACATCAAAATAATCTGCAAGTCTTGCATCTTCCCCATCAAGCTCCTAATTGATCCAAGATTGCATTATTTCGATTAGTAATATGTAAGTCCACATCGATAATTTGTTATTGATATATTTGTAGGTTACTTGTTTTGTACTTACTGCTCTTACATGGTGTTTTTTAATTTTTCAGCAGGTTTTTTTTTTTTTTTTTTTTGAGAGGGGAGAAAAAAAATATAAGTCCACATCGTATATGGTGAATTAATTTATTGAATAATTTTCTGTAGTAACATACATAACATTTATCTTCTTTGTGATGAGGCATCATAAAAAATGTTTTCATGATCCATGACAATGGAATATAAACTCGCCGCCAGGTTATAACATCCTAGTAAGTCTCAAAGAGTTTTATAATATGGAAGTTCAGTAGTTGACTTTGCATTCTAGCTGTTAAATTTAACATTTTAAAATCATGTATCATGCACTTCAAAGTTACATAAAAGTTAATATGAATCCAACACACTTCTTTTCAATCCACATAATTTATTTGATAATATCAAAGTCGAGTTTGAATCCTCACCGGCCCTTCTCTCCATCTCTCGCTCCAATCAACAGACAAGATTCGTCCACATCACCCATAACAAAAACCAATGACTCAGATTAACTTAAAAAAAATAAAAAATAAATAAAAAAAAAGTTGAATTTCATTCAACACAGCACATCTGACACACTGTGCTATGTCAAATCCACCACTCACTCAATCACTCACTCTCTCTCCTAATAAAAAATTAAAAAAAAACTATTTTAATCCTTTTAATTTTATTTTCATAATATATATAATTTTTAATATAAAATTTTAATTTTATAAAATTAATATCATTGAAAATATACCTTTAAAATGAGACTAATATTAAATATATTTAATAAAAAATTAAAACAAATAAAAAGTAATTACTATGTTTAGTTATGTTTTGAAATTATTATTTTTTAAATAGAAAAATTAATTTGATGAAATAAACACACAAAAATCATATATTTCA